TTTAACATATTTCACCAAAAGAATCGCTGCTTGTTCTCAGTTTTGCAGATGGTTTCCCAGGTTGACTCGTTAGAACGCTGAGGAAGGACAAAAGCTCGTTTGGCAGAACAGGAACTCTGTCATTACTCATGTTGGGAGCATCTGTCTCGCTCGTGTACTTGGTGTTTGGGAGCTGAATAGTCTGCGGAGAGTTTCTTCTGCTTTCACTTATGGGGGACATTCCTGGGGGATGATGAGGTGTCTACAGCTCCAATTGTCAGTGCTGAATAGCTCAGACACGTTTGCTGCCCTCGCAGTTGCTGCGGGACAAACCCAGAAGTCTGGAAAGATGAAGTGTCGAGTCCCCAGTAATTTCCAGCCTGGTCAATGTGACCACAAATGGCTTCTATGGAGAACAAGAAGGCAGAAGCCTGGCTTTGTGGAGAAAAAAACCCCAACAATATTTATTTATTTATTTACTTATTTACTTATTTACTTATTTACTTATTTACAGAGGTGTATCATAACTTGTGCTTTGACCCAAAGCTGTCACAATTTAATAAAGCTGTGTGGAATTCTGCAGCAAAGGGGAAAATATGTCTCTTATAGAGGCCATACCATCCTTTTTAAATGGTCTCAGGTAGATGAAGGCTGTGCCTTGCATTTGCTTTCCCCCTCCAGCATCCTCCAGAAGGCTTTGTGGAAGGAGGGTTGGAGAAGTTTGACAGTCAGGTCTCGACACCCCTTCGAAATCGGTCTCGAGGCTGCTGGAGGTTTTGAGGCATCTGCTCTCAATTGTCACTGCTGGAAAACAGGGAGAGGAATTTAAAAATAAATAACTTGGCACACCTTTAGTTCTGTGGAGTTGATTAAAAAAGCTGTCTCTGATGTAAATCAAATGAAGCAATATTTGCAGCCCGCACGACGTAACTGAAATGGGTCTGCAAAGCTTGGGCACTGTGGATGTTTGCTCTTCCTCCTGTTCCTAAATTCTCTGTATTTTGGATGTTTTCAGTGTTTCAGTGTTGCTTGGTTAGTGCTGTGTTTCTGTAGAGTAGATGGAAGCCATACAGTGCAGTCTGCAAAAATGTGTGCCTCGAGAAACACAAAGCCAAATAAAAGGGTGGCTGAAGAGGGGCAGCCTTCACAGTTTGGCACTGAAATTCTGCAGTTCTGTGCAAAGAGATGCTTTTCCATTTCCTGGTTTCAAGCACCTCTCTGATTTTCTAGATTCAGTATTTGTGCACATTACTGAGGTTCAGGCTTGACAATTCCAACGCCCATTTTGAGGCAAAAACGGCCCATTGCATTGTGGGGGAGCAGAGAGCTCTTCAAAGGTACAGAAATTAATTCTTTTCACTAAGGGAGCAGAGGGAGAAAATGCGAAAATCAAATAAATTCCAATATGTTTAAAAAGACTGATAAAAGGCTAAAAGAAAGACATGAAAGAGGCAGGAGGAACTTCAGGAGTTCATGAGACACGGTTAGTTTTCCCTCACAGCTCCCAGCCCCTGGTGATGGGCTGCAAGATGAGCAGAGCTGGACATGTGGTTGGGAAAGTCCATCCCTTTCCTCGACAAGTTTATGGATCCTAAAAGAAGGTGGGAGCTGTACCCGCAAAGGAGGGATTTTATTTTCATTTTGTTGGTAGCTCTCCTCTGCAGATGTAAGGAACAAGTCCTGGGTTTGATTTCATCCTGCTTTAGCCTCAAACCAAGGACAGCTAAATGTGCAAGATGGCTGAAATTCAGGATACTGAGTGTGTGCAGTGAAACAAATTCCGTGGAGTCAAATATATTGCTGAATCCCACCTTAAGCAGGTTTGCTGTCTCCTTTCACCCCTGTTTCTCCTGTCAAGAACAGAACCAGAAATTGGAAAAAAGACAGAGGTGTTAATAAAAAAAAAAAAAAAAAAAGAAAAGAAAAAAAGAAGACAAAAGAAAACCAGAAAGGAGATGTTGATTTTAGGAACTTTGATTTACTTGGTTTTGCTTAAAAACATTAAGCTTTTGCATTAGAAGTATCCTTTGAAAAAAGGATGTCTGCCTTTCAAAATCCTGCATGGGAAAACGTTCAGGTTCGTGTCAGGCAGAGCTTACAGATATTTTTTCAGATGCAAGTTTAAAAACAGACACCTTTTTAAAAAGAGATTTTTGGGAGTTCTGTCTTTGTAACTTGACAGGGCGGTTTGTTCATGTCAATAGTCTTTTGATCACTCCAAAGACATTGAAATCAGAAATGTCAATGCTCGCAGTCTTCTGATGCAGCTCCCTTAAGTATTGTTACAAGAGGAATACGGCAGATTATTATTATTTTTTGATTTGCCAAGTTTGTGAGTCTATCCCAGAGCTCTTGGGAGACTGGTCCACATTTGTGGGTCTAACCTGGAGCACCTGGAGCCTGGAACCTCACTGGTGTTGTCAGTGAGTTAAACAGTGAGAAGTGTCTGCACTTTCCTGCTCTGGGTCTGGCTTTGGGCTCTCCAGGTGTGTTGCCTCTTTGCAAGGCAAGTTACCACCGTCATTTATTGACATCCAGTTACCCAAGTGGAGAGGGGTTAAATCTGAACCTCCTTCTTCCTCATCACACTGAATCAGTGGGGGTTTGGAGTGCATTCCTGCACATGAACAGCAACAGAACCATTTCCTAATTCAGTTGTCCTGCTGACCATTCCTCACTCCAGTTATAAAAGAAATACAATGGACTTTAGCTTTTTGTTTTTAAATGCCCTGTAAACCTCCAATTAGGAACGTGAAGATGTGACTATATAGGGTTATCCTCTCCTGAATATCTTTGTAAACTCTGATCACAAAAGCTGTAGGGAATATTCTCTGTTGAACTGAAATTCAGCAGAAAAAGAAAGTACAGAGTTACAAACAAATTCTGGCATTTTTACAGTCTGGTTTTTTATTTATGTGTATAAAAAATAGTGATTCTCAATGTCTTTAAATGGATTACTTGTTTTACATGAATTATAATCTACAGAGCAACCATTTTCTATAGGATTTGGTTTGTAGCTGATGTAATGATTACAAGGAGGTTAATCCTCCAGTCCAGATGGATCAGGTGCAGGCCCTGAGGATGGAGGATTTCTGTCAGGGGGGTGAACCTGGATTTGTGGTCTGCCCCATGCATATCTCAGGGATAAGGGAGCCTCTGGAAGCACAGAGGTTGAAATCCCTGTTGAAGCTGGTGGGAGTTTTGTTACTTCAGTGGATTTAGAATGTCACCAGAAGGATTTTTAGGTGCTTTTCAAAATGAGAAGGTGACCTGTTTAACAGTGACCCAAATCATTCACTGCACAACTTCTGTCCTGCTCAGATTCCCAGTCACACATCCGCAAACCAAAAGGAGAACTGTGGGAGAGTAAAACTAGGGATTTGAAGCGAGAAAGTCACTGGAGGTGTTTCCCCCCCCCTACTCTGGCTGGTTATTCTGGGCAGCAGCAGCGGCAGAGCCGGAGCTGTGACGACGCCCAGCACTTTGGGAGGGGTGGGAAACACGGAAACCTAAAGGAATCCAGTAAGATCCAGAACTGCAGAACAGGCAAATGAAATCAGTTTGTCACAGAAGATTATTTTTTTTTTATTGACATCTTTAGTTTGTTTTGATGTCTGTAATTAAAGCGCTAATTATGTGTTTCTGTTGCAGTGGTCATGCTTTTATTACATAATTGCTACAAGTTTTTCTCTCACCACTAACAATATTTGTTTAACCTTGGTGCATTCTAGTTACATCCTTCAGAATGTAAAAGCTTAGGAACAGAGTTATTGATTGTTACAATTAACTAAATCAGAGGGGCTCAAAGATCTTTGCCATAAATTAAATATGTTTTGTGGCAGAGGATCAAAGATAATTAAAGGATGAAGCCACCGCAGTCATTAAACAATAAATATTATTTCTACACCAACTGAAGAAAATAAAGCAAAAAAAAAAAGAAAAAAAGGAGTAAATCTGATGGGTTTTAAAAGGAGGGGAAAAAAGTTTAGCCTGGGGTAAAAACATCATTTAAAAAAATAATTTGTACTGTGATCCTTTGAGCTTCCTTCTGTGTTGTCTCAAAAAGCATCTGATTAGGTGAGATGCAATTCAGTCACCTTCTCTTCTATTTTTGTTTTCCTTTTGGGTTTAGGCATAATTTTTGTCAGTATATTTCAATGTATTCATTAATTTTTCTCATTTGTTTATTTTATGCAAACCATAAGAGACATTTTTTCCTCAGTGAAGATTGCCTCTTTATTTTATTTTGAAATATTTGTATATTTATTTCATTAAATGAGATAATGCTTTTTCTTATTAACATAATTTCCAGTACATTAAACATATTTCTCCACAGACAGAAGAGAGGAATCAGATTAAATGACAGTTAAATCACTTGCAGCAATTTCAACTGTTAAAAGAAATAAGTGTCTCTGTTTTCTTTGTGATCACGAGATGTGCTGTAAAGGGAAATGAAATCCTAAAGAAAGGAGGGAAAACATAAAGAAATAATGACTGACTTATTGCAGTAATACCACTGAGAGAAGACAAACTCACTACAAATAAAAGGAAAAATAATATAGTGGTTTTGAAAGTTACCAAAATTCATTTCTTATTGATGAGATCAGTGCAAGCCTTGCACTAAGTAAACTGAGGGGGGGAAAAGCAAAGCACACCCAGAGCCAGACAATGCCATGCACTGGGGGGGGAGAAAGAAGAAATAAATACTGGGCATTTGGAGGGCTGTCCCTCTAAATGCCTTGAATTTGGAAATAATTTCATTTTGTCACATTTAGGGGAGGGAGGGGAGAAGCAATTCCCTCCTGGTGAGCTGCCCCTGCCCCTCCAGTGGTCAGGGCTCCCCAAATGTCCACGTGTCCTTCTGCAGCTCTGTCCTGATCCTGGGCAGCTGTGGGGCTACAGCAAGGGGAAGAGTTATCAGAGTTATCTTTTTTTAACTCTTATAAGATATTCCAGAATGATTATAATAGTAAGAAATGTATTTCTCTTAATTATATCTTTATTGTTATTTTAATTTCCAGAGTCTGAAGGAGCTGCTTGGCAGAGCTCTTTGGGCTGAGTGACTGGGCTGAGGCATTCCCAAGGTAAGGTTCACATCCCTGCTTTGCCCCCAGCCAAGATTTCCTCTGTTTGTGCTTTTAGCTCTAAACCAATTCTTTGTCCCCAGTTTTATGTGCCTGATCCTGTAGTCCTGAGGAAGGACCAGTCCAGCAGTTGCCATTTTCCCTCTCTTTCTCACTTTCCCATCAGTGCACTCTGCAACTTGAAGCTCTTTATGCACAGTGTGTCAAACACTCTGATTTTCAGCTTCAAGATGAAATCAGAGAAGGGATTTTTGTGCTGGGGGACCTGGTCTAACCCACTGCTCTGTCTCAGAATTAACTAAAACCACAATTCTTCAAGGAATTTAACTGTAGTATTCTTGCTTCTAAATGCCTGATGAGGAAAAGCCATGTCAGTGGGGTGCAGCATCCTCCCTTTTGCAGGGAAAGAGGTGGGAAATGGCACATTTTGAGGCTTCTATGGAACTGTTTCCTGGGGCTGGAGAGCAGACTCTGCCTTCCTGCCCGTGCACTCGTGTGCTGAAGCTGAGCAGGGTCATTTGCACTCTGGGGTTGGTGTCCCTCGTGTCCTCCTTGGAAGTTCTATTTGTTGTGCCAAGGGGAGTTGTCAGGGACTGGAGGTGGTAATGGAATTTAGCAGTTGAGGAGACTGAGAAATTCCAGTGAATTTGAAACACAATCAAAGAAATCAAACCAGAAGCCTCTGTCACCATCCTCTGTGGACATTGGCCAAGGGGGAGAGTCACATCTGTGCCACTGCAGGTGCAGCAGAGCCCTGGCTCCCAAAATGCTCCAAAGCTCCTGGTGGGCACAGGCTGAGGGTCATTCCGAGCTCTGCTGTGCGATCCCTGTGTGAGGAGGCACAACAGAGAGAGCTGGTAAGTGGAACTGAGCACAGAAACACTTCTAATGACGGTGCTTGTACTTACAACCTTCATTACCATATTTTCAGAGGGCATAATAATCATTAATGTGTTTATTGTGCCCCTGTGGGTTGGGGCAGAAATGTTATCCTTTTTCACACACGTGGAATTGGAACCTAGACAGCCCAAGTGCTGAAGCCCAGCTCCTGTGGGAAGGCTGCCAAAGGCCTCCTCCAACCCTCCTCCAGGTCCTTTCCTCTGGACTTGTTCCACATGGGCCACAGCTCTGCAGGACAATTGGACACACATTCAGCTTCCCATGGACTGACTGTCCCTCTGAAATAAAGGGAAATTACTCTTAAGAATTGATGGCACTAAAAGCAACAGCAGGTTTCAGCCTTCAGTTTATAAAAGTGCGTGTAAAGGCTTAGTTAACTTTTGAAAGTGGTTTTAGATGAAGTAAGTGATGAGGAAAATCTGTTTCCAAATTTAACAAGTTTATATTTTGCATATTCCATACCAAGGCCATTTTTCATCTTGAGACACCACAAGAAACTAAATCAGCCTTTGACTGTGAGGGTACAATGCTGAAGGTATTCCAGAATAACATGCTTTAGCTTTGGGGAAATATAAAAGCATGACTACATTGGGCTTTTTATGTTATGTAACAGCAGTTTTTCCACTCTGCACTAAATATCACTTTCAGATTTCTCATCTTGCATGATATTGCCTATTTCATGCCTCTGACAAAGTGGCTGAAACAAGCTCTTTCCCCAAACTTGTGATATTTGTGGATAAAGGATTATTACCTGTGGTATTTTTGAAACAATGAATAAAAGGCAGCATTGCTTGAGCAGGTGCACACGAGGTGCTGGGTTTCTTGTCTGATGCCACAGCAAAAGTCTGTGTCAGAGTTCAGAGGGGATTCCAGAGGATTGGGCTCCCCCTTTTTGTGCTTGGATTAGTAGGTTTAAGATCTGGACTGGCCTGGGACAGACACTGGAATATTTTCTTTTTCAGGCAGTACTTTGGCCGTGTGACCTGTTCCATCTGTCATATGGCAACAGAGTGAGCAAATGTGCTTCTTTAGGGGGTGCTAAAATCCCCCAGGATGTTGCTGATGTGTGGTGGCAGTGCCATTCCGCACTCTGAGGGCTTGGTAACAATGTACCTCCCTTTCCTGGAGAAAGGAGGGTGCTCCAGGTTCATGGGAACACTCGAGTGCAGAAGGAATTAGGAATTGTGCTCTCTTTGAGGGAACAAAGTGAGGCTTCATTCTTGGATTTGGTGTTTGGCTTTTTGATTTTGTTTGACACAATAGGAAAGGCAAAATGAGAGAGGAAAAACTAAGCTTGTTGTCTCTGCTCTTCAGAGAAGACCTTAAACAGCAGAATCTCCCCCCCCCCCCCGGTGTGTGTGTGACTTGATTATTCCTGTCCTGTGGGAATCTCGTGCAGCTGGACAATATCTGTGGAAATGCAAAGTACAGCTTTGGTGAAAATCAGATTCTATATTCCCTTTATTTGTGGATTCCTGGGACTGTGGTGCAATTGCTTGTCTCTAAAATGATTCCGTGTGAGGGGTGGGCACTGTGCCTTTCCCTCCTGGATGAACAGAGCTGTCCATCCCTCTCAGGCTTGAGTCACATCAAGGTTAGGATTTTTAACTTTTTCTTTTGTTTTGTCTGGTGGTTTTATTTTCCCTGTTTGCAAAGGAGAGAGAAGTTTCAAAAACCACAGGGTTCATGAGGTGGTGTGAGAGAACAAAAAGTGATCATAGAAAACCAAGTTTCAATAGTTCTGTTGCTTTGTGGAACAGATCATTGTTTCTTTTTACAGAAATTCAAATGGAAAAAGTGGCTTAGATGGAAAAAAAAATCGCTACTTAATGTTTCTCTTGATATTTCCAGCAAGTCAATGTGAACATAATAAAATGATTGTGTTTCTTGAAAAAATTTTGGTTAAATTTAGCTTTGTTTTCTGCTTAAAAAAAGGGGAGGGGGGAGTGATAATAAATGTCATTTGCAAATAGAAGTGTCCTCGGTTTCCTGTTTTCAGTAGGCTTAAGATAATTCATTTGTTCTACTTGTAGTTTGTCAATTGATGCATCCCTTCCAAAACTCTGTGGGCCCTCTTAGCCAGAGTTTCCTACAGTTATTTTTGCACTATTGTTAAACAGAACCATCCAACATGTTGCTTTTTGAATTTATTGCGTGGGATCAGCACATAGTTTTCCATTGTGGCATATTTGTGTGTTTGTCACTTTTATTGTTTATATGCCAGCATATGGCCAGAAAGACAAACTTCTTCCCTCAGTTTTCTTCTTTTGTATTGTTCGGGCCACAGTGCCTTTACATCAACAGTTTGTAGAAATCAAATTCCTGGAATATAATCGGTTTGCTTAAGGAAAAAAGAAGGAAAATTTGGAGAATACAGCCCGTGGATCAGTGAGTGTTCAGTGAATGGCTTTATTTTACTACCCAGGGCTGCACAGAGGGCAGAAAAGCAAATGCCTATTTTTATTTAAACTCCAGTTTGGTTGTTTAGTCTCATATATCTCCTGATGCCACTTGCACAGATACAGTGACTGCATCAAGGGCTTTCCTGAGCAAGCAGAGCTCTTCACAGTGGCAAAACTCTGCCTGCATGGACATCAGTGCATGACAAGGACCATATGTCTGCATTTGTGGTGTGTGTAACCCAAAACCAGGTGGTACCAGCACCACATGCTGGCCAGCTACTACTCATTGCAGTTGCTCTAAACTTGACCAGAGATAAATGGCTTTTGGTGGTTTTTTTGGTGGTTTTTGTTTGTTTGTTTTCAATTCTGATGGTGTAATTGTTCAGTTTTGACTTCTAGAAAAGACCATTTTTTTCTTAATTTCTCTATGGCATCAATACTTATGTGACACTGATAAAGAAATTTCTCGGTTTATCTATTAAAAAAATCAACTCAAACTAGGCCACATGCATAAAGTGATCAGCTATGTCATTCCATGGATTATTGCCACCCACTGGCAGATGATTTGTCTGTAATCTGAGGCAGGAATGTTGTTGTTTGCACGGCTCCTGTGGAACAAGGAGTTAAAGTTTGAAGCAAAATAATCATTGGCTTACAAAACTCTGATTTCTCGTCCGTGTGGTTCCAGTGTGGTTCCATGTTTTCAGCTTGCCCAGTAACCATTTTGAAATTCCATCCAGCAGATATATCATGATAAATCCCCTATGTTGGCTTCTCCTGTTTTCCCCGTTTTTTGGAAGCTGTTGCCACACCACATGACCCACCACGGAAAGCCTGCTGGAAACCAAATCCTGATTTTCTTTAGTTTCTTTGGTTAGTTAAGTACTTTCACGAATACCAACTGTGATTTGAGGTGAAGAATCCCTGCAGCAATTAGGATTCATTTACTACTGGAGCATTTTATTAATTACACATTTGTAACCACATGGATGGGCACAAACCCACTCACACATGTCTGTATTTAGAGATTTGTAGACAGAAGATTTAACGTAAACATAGAAATGTTAAACTACTCATGTGTAGCCTGCAAAGGAGATAACAAGAAGGATTCTGTTCTCGGCGTGATTTGTGAACAATGCTAAGTAAATATTCATCATTAATATATAATAACTGTTGCTTTTGGCAGTTCACTTTTCATTTAATTTGATAATGTGTCCAGCAAATGAAGTGGTACAGGCTGCAGTGTTTTACCACCACAATTGCGTATTTTCAATCATTGTTAAACGAAGGCAGCTCAAGGCAAAGCTTTAACCCCCACTAGTTTTGTGTGTGATAAAAGGAGAAGGCGCTATCAATCTTTATTGTCTGTCTCGCTGGCTGTAATTGCATTCAATAGTCCACTGATTCCGTGTCTGTGCCGGTGTCGGGAGCAGGGAAGAGCCAGATGCTCGCACTGATCACACGCATCCAGCGGCCACTTTGATGAGTTGGCAGAGTCTGGGGGGCCGATGATGGATTGGTCACGCCGGGGATGACGAGCTGCGAGTGCGTGGGGAGGAACTCCTGCCCTTCGGAGTCCGGCATTCCCAGCCCGGCCAAGTGTGTTATTCCAATGCCTCCTTATGTTATTCAAATGCATCCCTGTGTTATTCAAATGCATCCCTGTGTTATTCAAATGCATCCCGTGCTGCAAACAGT